GAGTGCAGCAAAATGAACAGCTAAGGGTAAGATGCGCTTCTATCACGGGAGCATTGTCGAGGGAGTGGCAGCCTCTTGTTTTATGTTCCCCTTACCTTGCTTTGATTCGGTGATTTCTCCTGCACCCTTAATAACGCATATAAAAAAACTTAAATATAGAGAAGGACAGATAAATAAGAAAAAAAAAAACTTATGGCACTCGCTATTTTCGCAGCATCATCTATTCGTAGATTGATGTTCCCATTATAGGTAATCTCGTTAATTCTCAAGTCCCAATCGGGGGCTGGAGACCAAAAGTACTGCTGGTCCTCTATATCTTACTTAATGGAGGCTATCTTGTTACCTTTTTGTCTATGAAAGTCCTTTTACCGTAGAATGATCTTAAAGTGTCTCTTTAGTCACCCCTGTCCTTCTGTATGCAGAATCATGATTTTGGCAGAATTAATTTATGAAGCTGAGCTTTCATGTCTTTCTTCAAATAGTTGGCATATTGATGGAGGAGACCTCTTAAAAATTATTTTGATCATGAATCAATTTGACTTAATTTTCATAGCTTGTATTCCGCTTTTGTTTAAAACATGTATTTTTCTGCTCACGTGTAAAGGCGTCTCTGGAGTTTTTTTTCCGACACAAAAATCTGTTGTCAGAAGGGGTAAGTTTAAATAGAAATCGAAAACATTTTTGTAAAGTGTACAAAACGATCGATCAACGAGAGCAAATAATTCTATATATCTAGATTTCATATGCAATGGCATTGCTTGCCTCTAGTTCTCCTGATCCGTTCTTTGTGAAGAAACATACAACTTTTATGTTTCATTTTCAACAACATTCAGCCTGATAGCACGATTCACCGGAGCTATAGCACTTACCTGGTGAGTCAAGTTAGTTGCAGTTCTGTTTCAAAACATTCACCGCAAACAAAGCAGACCGCTTTTGATTGAAGCCTGATGGTCACAGCTAGAGGGCACTCTTACGCAACTGATTCAGTTTGGAATGATTTGGCAGGTATTATTACACTCTTGGTGGGAACCAATGTATTTCTTATTTCGTAGATTATTACAGCCTTTTCTCAAAGAGATCTTCAAGCCATCTCTAACGCAACAACCAGGTGAACTTTTTTTTCAAAATTTAAAATTTCTTTTTTTTTTTCTTATGTGCGATGATTTAAAAGTAAGTTTTCATGCAGTATTTATCATTTAAATCATTGAATTGCGTATGATTTGACGTGACAACTATCAAACCCTCGAGATTTTGAATAAAGTTTTGAGGGATTTTACATTTTAAATATTTAACAAAGCAAAATGATAAATTTGTCAAGTTTTTATATGTGACATCCTCGAGTGGACATCCTGCCAATTTTAACAAGTCAAAATATTTTAACTTGGCCTGAATAAACGAAAAGCCCATCATGAAGGCACAAATATTGACTAGTTCCACCTGACCAAAGGCTTTTATTGAAAAATTTACAACTTCGAGGGTCTTGTCATGTAGGTAAATATTTCGTTGAATGAGGTGAATTTTCATTTTTGACATTGTAAGAGCAAACACCGTGTTGCATTTGACATCCTAGCTACAGGCGGCATTGACAATTCGGATTATCCTGAAATTTCTCTTTGACCGAACAGCGTAGATTATCGTAGATATAAACTCGTGACCAAAGTCGCAAAAGCTATATAGATTTGCCGTTTCACGAAATTTGGCCAAATACAGCCATTCGAAACGAGCCAAAAAGAGTGAAACCTAACACTTACATTTAGGATCAGTCAAGGAATATTTATTTGATATGGTAAATACAAGGGGAGGCACGCAAGAATAAAAAATAAATACGAATTGTGAAACGGATTGGCCTGAAGCTGAAATTTTCCTTAACTGTACAATCGATCTAACAACTTGGCAAACGGTTTCGTTCGTTTCGTTCGTCTAATTGTATGAAAGCAAGAGAAAAATCTTCGACATTTTGCAAGAAACAATGTGCACTGCATTGGGCCAAATACGAAAAGCAAAGGAAAAATCCTGATATTCTGTTATATCGGAGAACAGAGGAGAAATTCATCGACTTGACTAGATCGTCGATACTGTCCATCTTCACTGTTTTCAATGGATTTTTACAAATATCCTCTTACCCGGGATACCTTACTGTGTGAAGGGTTGGTATTAAAGACTATGGGGAGGACCTGTTGAGAGAGATTTGACTAGGGTCCAGGTTGACCGCGCATTAACGGTCTCTCAGCTGCACAAGATATTCCTTCCACGCATTAGAAGAATTCAGAACGGCCGTTAATTTGAAATTCTCGCTGGATTGGTTGCACGACAAACCAACTTTTGTGGGATTTTTTTCAGTGAACTTAAAGGGCAACTATTTGGCTTTCGTGCTGCTAATTTGATTTGAAGGAAAGTATTTAAGTGTTGTTTTCGAGCGATTTTGGAGTGCATGTGTCAAAAGAAGTTTCCTACCTTCCCGCATCTTGTGTACGTGACTCGGTGGTGATTAGGCCGTCAAGCTAAAACACATCAAAACGGCCTCAAATCGCGAGGAGAACAACACAGTGACTCTCTATGAAGGTAAGACTTTATTTCTTTGATTATTTCACACAAGTTTAAATTTACGGAGCTCAAAAGCAAGTCCAACTAAACCACTATACAAAGTCTTTAATAATTCACTGTGGAAGATCCTGTGACAGAGCTTGGGCAACCTGTGCCTCTAAATAGCGTTGCATTAAAAATTGTCCCATCGTGTTTTCCAGAAGATTTGAGGTAACCGGATTCTATTTGTAAATGTACGAAATGTAATGTAATTACAATGTATGCAATAAGTTTTATTTGGTCTGTGAATGACTCGTCAAATAACAAACTGACCTTCACAGGTAAATTATATTTTTCGAAAATTGCAGAAAGAAGAGCCGTAAACCGTTTGCAGGACTAGTACCCATGCCTCCCCAGTACTAGTTAGGGCTTCTTGGATGAAAGGCAAAAAAAAGTAATTTTATCGCAGTTGGCATGGTAACAGGAGGATGATAAGTTGACCCAAATTGTTTATAATAGATTAATGAAAGGGAGTACTCGATCTTCTAACGAATGTTGTATTTCTTGTTGAGTTATAGAGGATGCAATTAAGAGAGGACGTCTTGCGTATTATGATGTAATTGTGCGATCTCAGCCAGCCGGTTAGACTTGTGTCATTCAATGGGATGTTAATCTTCCAAACTTCTGTCAACTGACCTGTACCAGTTAATACTACAAGATTGTAACATGCGCACTACCCTTGAATTTTTAGTTAGCACGTACTTGTTTCAATTTATTGGCCGCTCTCTTCCTTGCTACATGAAATATTTAAGATTTTGACCAATATTGCCCTTGGCCGAAATCGCCCTCGTATTGACAGTATATTAGGGCAATCTATTAAATCCATTACGACCACTATTCCCTGCTGAATTATCAATCACTTTATTTCCAAGCTTGTAGGAAGATATGAAACATTCAATTTTAAAAGCCTGTGTCGAAAAGGGAAATGAAAAAGAAATTGAGATTATTGAAATAAGACAAGTTGTTCAAGTTTTATTCCGTTTATTTCAAATCGATTAGAAAATTCAAACTAGCTTGCTAACATCCCCACCCGCTTGCCCTCCGAATCACGCATTTAAGTTACCGATGCAATTAAAAATAAAATGAATTTATGCCTTTTGCTAAATGCTATATCGAATTATGACAGATCAGCTCTTATAAAAATACTCTCTGTGAAGCTTGTTTCATTGCTCGATATATCAAAAATCACTTCATAAAAGATATAAATTTTTGTTTCCCCTCTTTTCCCTTTTTCTCTCACTAAATAAGCTCTCAAACATTCACTATCGACGGCACCACCTGCCTACTGCACTGTTTTATCCAATATTGTTATAATGGCGGCATAGCCTGTGCTATTTGTCTTTAGTTTCAAGTGAGCAATTGTATCAATCCTTTTACTTCAGAGACATTTTCACAATCATTACAAATTACTTATTTCTTTTTCCATGCAACAAAGGTATTTAATAACTCTTCTTTATAGTCAAATTTCCCTGGGCCCATCAAAAAAAACTACTGTAGTTAGTTCTTTCCTGATGGTTATATGAAAAGGGTTGCGCTTATTTCCGCCCCTAATTAGAGTCAACAACAACCTGTAAAATATTACATTATGAGCCACCATTAACGGCTTGAGGATAAAATATACCTCTCAGATTTACGTAGTTTGTTGTTCGACGTGATCGGAAAAGGTAAAGTATCATCTTCTGTATGACGTGGTTTGTGTCATTTTGCTGTTATTGTGAGAAGAAGAGAATTTCTGGTGGTTCGCAGGTTTAGAAAATGAGACACCCCCACATTCGCATCAAAATGATACCCTTGGCTTACTGATGGGTAGCTATCTCAGAAAAAGTTCTCATAATTGCGATAGGTGTGACTCGACACAAACGTACAAACTAGCATGTCTGAGAGACAATTTCCATCAAAGAGAGAGTTTTTCGGTCAAAGGTTATTGCTTACATTGGATGAAATGAAATTTTATTATAAGTGCTTGTCATGCACTGTTTGAGAACAGGAAGTTAAAAAAGGGAAACAATTACAGCTCCCACGACTTTCAGAATCACCTGTAGTTGCAAACTCATTTCCTGATCAAACAAATGAGTAATTTAAGTACAACATATGCATAAAAGCTGTTCAACACATTGAAGATTTATGACGCCATGAGTATGTCTCGTTTTGAGCAAATAAAAAACGATTCTTCCGAAACACTCATTCATGTAGAATGACCGTTGAAGGGTAAATTTTGTGTGAACATGATTAATTTTTTTATCCTTGGGTTCTGTGACAGCAAAGAAACCACCTACTTTATGACTCCCAAGAAATAATTATAAAGAATGTCATGTGCTTGAAAGGCTAAAGTGCAAAGCTTGCCTTTAGGCGGCCCAAATGATTGAAATGCGAAATTGAAGTGCCTATTGTTTGATGACACCAGCTGCTTGGTGACATGTTCTATTGTTTGGTATATAAACTTGATGTATAGAGGTAGGTCGAAACACTTTTATATGATGTTGTTGCCTATCAAAGGTTGAGATTTATCTATGCTTGAGTCTTCCAGTCTGGTTTTCGTTGACAACACACAATATCGCTGAAGAGCGGAGAACGAAGAAGCTATCTTTTAGATCCCATCAGATTGGCAAGTGGAAACTGAAAACTCATACATGTTCTCAAATATGAAAGAAAATTGTTCCTTGAACTGCTCAGATGTGAGAGATACAGCGTCGAACAACGGTCTATGTCGTCGCTACACTGCATTTGTAAATGAAGACATTCCGCGCTTGTTCATCATCCTTAATTCCACCGTGAACATCATTTTAATGATAGTATCGATCTTGGCAAACAGCTTGGTGATAGCAGCGGTGTGGAAAACGCCATCCTTACGCTACCCTTCAATTTTATTTCTTTGTGGTCTCTCACTATCTGATGTTTTTGTTGGTTTGATCGTGGAGCCATTTTACGTCACCGTGGAACTGTTAAAAATTCATGGTTATCCAAAAGGAGATAATTGTAGACTGGAAACGGGATTTTTAGTACTTTCATTCGTATTTTGCGGGGTTTCGTTTGGAAACGTAACCCTTACAAGCATGGATAGATACCTGGCAATTCACTATCCTCTAAGATATGATACAATTGTTACAATCCCACGGGTATACATTCTCATAATTTCGTGTTGGGTTCTCAGTACTTTTTGTTCTGGTCTCTTGCTCTGGAATAGAGTCATTTTTGTATTCCTGGTGACAGTTTCTTGTGCAGTGTTCCTGATGATGTCAACAGTCATTCATGTCAAGATCTACCGAATCGTCCGCCACCATAGAAGCGTCATCCAAGCTCAAGAACAGGCAATCCACTCGACAAACGCGGAGTTGAATATGGCGCGTTTTAAAAAATCTGCCATAAACACGTTCCTTGTGTACTATTTCCTAATGCTATGTTACTTGCCCTTCGCTGTAGCTTGCAGTTTACTCATTTTGACAGACGAAAAAACCGATTCACCTATCCTTTGGAGAGTGGCCACCACAACAGTGTATGTAAACTCAGCACTCAATCCTTTTCTTTATTGTTGGCGACTCCCAGCTATGAGAGGTCCTGTTTTATCGTTGTTTAAAAAGATTTTCTGCACTTTAAAAACCTCTTCATCATGAATTCAACTGTGATGCTTTATCTCAGTTTAATTTGAAGAGATAGTAGGAAGAGGGTCAAACAGAAATTTTTTTGCAACTTCACGACTCGTAGGTTTTTTTTAACGTTCAAAGATGGAAAAGGAGAACGATTTCTTTGGAGCTCCGATCTCTCTCTATCGATCCAACAATTACCTTTCGATCAGTATTTTGGATGCTTTAAAACTGAGAAATTTAAACCCCGTAGTCTTCTGACCTTTCATCGCGTCGAATACAAACATTGTACAGTTGATTTGATGCTCTCAGGCACCGATGGGAACTAAAAATATTGCAAGCTTTACTTGCATCAATCGCCGGCCACTACAAATTTCAGACTAATGCTTTGTAAAAACGAGTGAAATATACCTCAAATTTTCATCAAAAGTCTTTTATTCCTAAACGTCACTCATTCAGTCCTACGAAATAAAGGTTCCCAAACACAAATGTTAATTGCTTTCACTGATGACTCAACTTGTCTTTTTTACGTCGAAATTTGACGTGAAAGACAAAAAAATTGAATTTATAAGACAACGCTAGGCAATCATGTGAAATAGAGGATATTACATGGCCGCCCGGGGATACGAATTTTATTTTCGAGGGTTGAAAGTGTCTCTCACGAGTGAGTGCAGCGAACGAGTGAGAGATACTTTCAGCACGAGAAGATAAAATTCGTATCCCCAAGCGGCCACGTAATGTTCTGTTTATTATGTAGATACTGATGAAATTTTCACATAAAAGACAACTAATTTTATTCGTTTTCGAAACAGCAATTGGGTAATTATGTTGGTAACCATGGCGACACCAATATCCTCACACGTGAAAGATAAAAATAGTATCTTCACTGCGCGCAGTGAAGATATGATTTTTTAGTAAAAGGAGAAATCCTGGTATTTCATCAGTATCTATATAATAAAATTATATAATTTTCGTGAATCACGAAATAATGGATGGTTTAATTTTTCTCTGATAAAGTATTGGTAGGAATTGTTTGCGATAAAACAAAAAGCATAAAAGAAAGTTCCCAACTTCTAGTCGTTGGCCGCTGACACAGCAAGTGACAGACACTCTCCTTCCTTTCATAAAGAAAGATTCAAGACACAGTCAGTCCAAAACCATAATAAGCAAAACTTTTGTTAAAACAGTTTTATTGAGGCTATATACAACCACGTAATGAAGGCTTCCGAGGGAAACCAATTATAATTCCTGTTTTCATATGACTGTTCGGTGTCAAGAAAGGCCAAATCAGAATTTCTATCAGACGCAATTTTAGCTGTCCCGATTGCAAACAGAGGGAGATCTCACTGACATTTACACGAAGCATTTCTAATTTTTTTTCCATTCTGTTACGGAGGGCTTCTAATGCTTCAAAACACAGAAACGAAAATGCATGAGTCAGCCCATAGGCTCGTAACCATATGAACTGAGGATAATACGACAATTTCAACAGATGCCGCAAAAAAACAATTCAAATTAATATTTTTCGATGCAGGATTCGTGGCTGTAGAGTCAAATGGTCACCAAACCGCCCTGAACTGTAGGAAACAAATGGTTACAAAGAATTAAAACGGGGACATTAAGTTAATGTGATGTATTTAAGTGGAAGATGTTCAAAGCAGAATAGATTTCATGTAGTTTGTACCAGTAAAAGCCACAACTCCAGGCCTACGAGAGAAATGTTTCCATTGGAACAGAATAGACAATTTTCATCAATGATTCACAATTGTTTTTTCCATTTTGATCTTTCATGGAGAAAATTGTTTTAAAAAACGCACAACGATGGGACTTCTCAAACGGGAAATTTTCACTGAGTGTAAATGATAGCTGATATAAAATTGAGGGAATGGACGGAAGATCACTGATCGCATTCATAATAATTGATTATTGAACGAAATTTTTCTCATAAACGAAGAGAAAAAGATTTTTTATTTTTTTAAGATGTGGCAAAACTAACTACATGAATGAGCATTCTTTCAAGCCTTTAAACGTCTGGCATGATCGATGCTTTGGACCAATAAGAAATTAAAACGTCGTTCCTGAAACTTGTTGGGCTGTTTTGAGTTTTGATAAAAAAAAAAAAA